GGGGGTTCTGAGGGGGGCGGGAAGTGGGTGGGGCAGGGGCGGGGCTAGGGCAGGACAGGGGCGGGGCTCCTCCTGTCCTCTTTTTTGCTTGCTGAAATATGGTAACCCTAGCTGGTGTAAGTTCTAGAGATCATCCCTTTTATTTGTCCTGGGCCTGCTGATTTGTCCAACCCCTGATACATTGAGTTCTAAAGCAGAAGGGAGGGGCAGCTGTAGCTCTAAAGTACTACTCTGGGTATCCACAGGCCTGAGCTTTTTTGTACCTTTATCAGCTTTTTCAATCCTGCCTCTCTCTTTAGCGTGGGGATAGAAGCAGAGGGGTCTTCAGCCAGAGTGGGCAGCTGTGACCAGTGCCTTCATTATGTCCATCATAACCAGGTTCCCTAATCCTTCCTGGCTCCTCTCCTGCCCAGGGAAGTTGCACTGTGACCCCACATATAATGGGCTAAGGAGAAAATTCACTTCCGGTCACAGATGTAGATAAACTTCCCAAAGAGAAACTTGATTAAGGAGACAATTGGAGAGAAAAGAATATGGGTTAAAGCAGGAGACTGACTTTTTTCTTTTTCGTCTTTAAGTTTCCTTGGCCTAGTTTTCTCTCTGGAGCCTGTAGGGGCACCAATCAATATAGCATCTCAGAAGGGGAAGTGAAGCTGAGGGGAAAAATTCACCAAAAGATGGAACAGTCCTAGGACATTGCTTGGAATTCAACTGAATTGTTAAGCAGAAATTTGAAATAAAATGTTGTTGGCATTTTCTCCAGGAAGGAAATCTAGTTAATCTTGCCTGTCACTGAGGAGGAGATAGAGAAAACTGGAGGAACTACAGGGGACAGGACATTACAGCTGCCCCCAAACTGAAGTGCCCACAATGAAGAAAAACAGCTTTTTTATTGGAGGGGGGAAGGTCTGTATCTGTGTTGGAGGGGGATTTAGTAGCTAAACAATAGCTGAGCAACAATCTTAAGAAGCATGTGGATGAGGTATTGGAGTGAGGACTTCCTTAACTTTCCCTCACTTCACAGAAATCTGAAACCCTGTTCTTTGACATGGCCTGGAATTTAAACGTTGATTCCCATTCTTCCACCAACTTTTTTTTTCCTTGCCCACCCACAATCAGAGAAATAGACTAACTACACACATGCAAAACATAAAAACACAACAAAAAACAAAACCAAAAAACAGCACACACACACACATACAATTTGTTAGTGCTTTACAATTCCTTGTGCATTTTGGGTCCCATTCAGCAAAACACATAAGCATATGATTAATTCCAACCCTATACCAATGATTTGCGTAAGTCCCATAGAAATCAATGGGACTTAAAATACATGCTTACATGCTTTGCCAAATTGTTGTCTCTAAGCAGGGCTGCTTCCAGTATTTTTATCTGCATGACAATTTCACACAAAACAACATAGCCAAGTAAGAAATGAGCATATATTCATTGTTTTGAATTGTCAGACTTACGATGAGGAAGCAAGCACCAACCATAACAGCTTTCATCTTAACATCAAGATCCATTGGAAACTGGATTCCAAAATTATCAGCATCTGTAAATGCCTCTCTTACAAATCCAGACCACTGCTTAGAAATTCTTCCGACTACAGAACTTTCATCCATCGACTTCACCTAGTTTGAAATAAAACAAAGAAAGTCTGCCACCCATAATAAAAAAGATTTTGTGTGATCATTTTAAATGCTCATTCAAAAACTTCAGGATATTCACATTTACATGGGTTGTTATATGTCCTACAGCATGTGGTATTCAATATTGTGATACTCTCCACTCTACATCAGTAAATCATGGGCTCAAGTCCTAGACTAGAACTTGGACTCATATTAATGCTAACTACACAGTGCAGCACAGTAATGGAGAAGGTTGCAGGGCTACACTGTTAGAAGTGTTGTAAATGAAGGTTCCTTCACCCAGTGTCAGTGTCTACATGGAAATTAAAAGATTACATGATAAGTTTCCGAAGTAGGGGACAAGACCTATGTCAACATTATGTCTTTTGAAAACTGGTTTCTGTGTTCAAAGCCATGTAAAATGGCTATTCCCAAGAACATAATGGCTAGTAAGTTTGCTTAGAATGATCTTGCAAACCTTTGCTTATGATTACTATACATTGTTTTAAAATAAACTAGTATCTGGAATATGAAAATAGGATTCATTAACTCTTCATTAGTTTAAGAATTAATTACAGAATTAAATAATTTATAATAAAATTACACGATCCACTTATGCTGATCCATTTTGATCATTTACATCAATTACTGGACAATTAAGTCAGTGGATCTAGAAAGTTGTAATTTAATTAATAATACTTAAATATACAGTACTAAGGGAAAATTATGTACTGAATTTATTCAAAAGTGTATACTGAATCTATTTTTACTACCTAAAGTAAGATAATGTAATGATATTTTCCACTGTTATTTCAATAAACATTAAAGAGATTTCAACACCACAACAGTGAAACAACTTCAGTATATTCAAGGTACACTCTAATTGGCACAAAAAGCTTCACTTCAACAGGAAGAAAGGGGGAAAAAAGGACAAAATATTACCTAAACATTCAATATCAATGGTTGAAACCTGGGTTATTTACCAAGATAATTGTTTTCAAAGATTTTCATATGCAAACAGTTGGACTATCTAAACACCAAATGTTATTACTGAATGCATTACAACTTAGTTTTGTGGGAAATGGTCCATTAGTAACAATAAGACCAGTTACAGATATTAAACTATTAGGAAAACCACTAATTAAAAATAGAAGAATACAAACACTTTAAACAATGTTACCTACCTCAAAATTAATATCTGCACAACAGCTGCATACAACGCATGGGCCAATGATTTTAAATACATCTATTTTTGCTTCATTTTGAACAGTAAATTTAGGCAGACAGGGGTGCCAGTTTTGTTTTATGTAGCCAACTGGTGTACCTGGAGGGGACTGAACTTCAAGCTTCAAAAGAAAAAAACAACACCATCACAGAAGTGGGATAAAAGTTAAGTATCTGCATAATTATTCCAATGTGTTTTAAATGCTTGTAAAATCATCTTCAGTATAGAGAAATACTGTAATGCAGAGGATGGGTTATATATCCTACAGGAACTGTAGCACTTTAAGATGTCGACATAGATTACATTCTTGGTGTGCATGTGCCCCCATGCTCACAAAATCAAATTCTTTTGAACACCAGTGTCCATTGTGGCAGATAGATTACAAGTTGGCAAAATCATAACACTGTTCCTATAAATTTTATGCTCTGTCTCAGAGGGTCCTTGTTGATCATGAGTAAGGCTATGATTTAGCCAGGGGTATTTTTAGTAAAAGTCATGGGCTGCCCGAGTAACAGCTAGTGTGGCTGGCCCCAGGGACTGCCTGAGCAGCGGCCGGTGCGACTGGCTGCAGGACCGCCCCACCGGCTGGCTGCAGAGCTGCTCCAGCAGCGGCCAGTATGGCTGTCTCTGGGGCCACCTGAGCTGCTGGCCCTGGAGCCAGCTGCTTTGGGGGGCCCTTGAGTCGGCAAAACTGGCTGCTGCAAAGTCACAGAGGTCACAGAAGGTCATGGAATCCGTGACTTTCGTGACCTCCGTGACAAACACAGAGCCCTAATCACGAGGCACAGGGAGGTGAAGTGGTTTAAGGTGTTCTGGCTAGAGTATGCTAACATGTTGAAGAGACATGCAAACCACATGGTTCAACCTGAAGGAACTGTGAAGTGGTTGAGACCACCTTGCCTCTTATACTCTAAGCTACAGTAATTGCAAGGGCTCCCACAATAGACACTGCTATTCAAAAGAATCTAATCGCATGTTCATGCGCACCAAGAGTGGAATCAGCATGGAAAAAAAACCCACTTGAAGACTACAACTGTTTCTTAAACGAATCAAGTAGATTTGTCTGAACATTCTGTGAGAACTGTCACACATGCTACCATAGTTTAATAAGAAAAAACAATGTTCCCACCCGCTGCAACCTCCCAACCCCAAAAGCTGCTGGACTCATAATACTACAAAAAGCAGTGAGTTAAGTTAAGCCAGAGGAAGCTTTAACTTTGTCCTAGTAAGAGATTTAATAATGGTTTAATTATAGGAATTTCAATATTGTTTTAATCTACCTGAACAGTATTAAAACTGAGATTTTGCTTAATATAAAATAATTTTACATTCCATACTCATGTAGAGTTTAACTGCAGATCACTTTATTTGCATATCTATATATAAACTGTATCTCTGTATCTCCAGGAGATGCATACAAAAATTTGTAGCAGAAATGGAGGGCAGATTGTGACTCTAAACAGAAGACCATCTTACTGTGTAGCCCATTAGAGCTAGCTTAGCCTTTTATTTTACTCAGCAGTAACACAAGGAACCTATGGGCTTGTATCCTATAAGACACTGGCTTAAGCAAGTTAGCATAAGTAAAGTAGGCCTTGTGATTCTGTGTAAAAGAAAGGTGACCATTTATATCACTGTTACCACTAATACACAATTTCCGTAAGTCTTGTACAAAGTATGTCATGTAAGGTATCAATAGAAAAAGTTATGAATTGCTAAGTATGATTAACTTGTTCATATGCATATATCATCTTTGTAGCTGAAGTTCTGAATATTAGGTAAGTACTTGTATCTTACACATGTGTTATATTCCTGGGTGACACCCCCCAGATCGATTTGCCCTTGTGATTCAGCAAAGCATGTAAGGACTTGTGATAAGGACTTGTGACCCTGGACTCCATCTTGGGCCAGCAATTTTCCATGCACTTGGACTGTGGGCTTTGTTTGGGACGGTAAATTTCCATGCACATGACAAAGGATATAAAAGACCTCTGAGACATCTCCATTTTGCCTCTTTCCTACTCTAATTCTCTGGACTGTGCATTTACAACAAAAAGGAGCATCTTGAACTATGGACTGAGGACCTTCCAATCTTTTGGAAGTTACCAGAGAGACTTTACAAGCAAGCAGTCTATTCCATCACTACTACAGACCTGATATAAGGACTTTGCAATCATTTGTATGCATATGTTCTATTAACCATTTATAACTCTCTTTTTTATTATTATTAAATCTTTAGTTAGTTTACTAAGGATTTACTGACAGCGTGATATTTGGGTAAGATCTGAGATACATATTGACTTGGGATATACGTCTGAGCCTTTGGGATTAGAAAGAACCTCACATATGGTTAAATTCATTTTCAATAACCTCTCACTATATTAGATTGGATTGTCTGGATGGGAGCCAAGTGCTGGAATGCCTAAAGGGGACTGTGATTGGCTTCTGGTTAACCAGTAGCGTACTGGCAGAAGCTTTTTTGTTACTGGTTTGGTGAATTTGATTATAGAATAAACCACCAGTTTTGGGGGACTGTCTGTCCTATTTCTTGCAGTCTGCCCTGAGTGTGGCATTCTCAGTGTGGTCTATCCCAGGCACCTGGTCACAGGTCTATGACCCTTAGCATAAATAAAATGGCCCAATGGTTACCCTAGATTTTGGGGAACTGGGAATAGCTTGCTCAAGAGAAGGAGTTGGTACATAATGAAACAGGGTAAGCACAGGAACACTGAACTGATACTGGGATTGGGTATTTTAGGATAGAATCATTGGTAGATGTTTAACCACAAACCTGCTTTAGCAATAGGTGACATATGATAATGAGTTAAAAGGCATTAATATGTTAACCTATAGGACAAGGGCACCCCAATATTAGGAGTGTAAGGAAGTTAGATTTGGACATGGAAGGCTGGGCATCTGAATGAATATTCATGATAGCACCCAGACCCTATAATAACTAAGCCACCATGTAGCTGAGGTAAGTTTTCCATCACTGATAACAGTGAAGAGCTGAAGGGTCAATCACCGACCTTTGGGGTTCTGGACCATCAGATTCATTTGGCATGTCAGGGACAGGGCTGGTCCTTTGTCTCTCACCACAAGGTTCCCAAGGAAGAATGTGAATATATACAAGTACATGAGCATATGCAGGAAATGACACCAAAGATATCCCTAATACTGTATTACTACTACTTGTGTATGTGGTTTAGAGCTGTCTTGTCTTTACGGATTGTTTTAATAGAAGTGGCTAAGGCTTTGCTTTGCCCTCAATGTGCTATCCTGGGGTTCCCTACAAGATATTGAACTTGTTAGTTTTAATTCTGTGGAGCCTGATTCTGGGACGAGAACCCTATTATTCCCAGCTCATTAAATCAGTATCAATTGGCAAGCAATACAATTGTTATTAATCATTAAAAAGGATCAGGCAACAACTATACATCATTCAATTAGTAGTGTCAGATTCCTACAATGAGTGTCAGGTCAATGGTTTATGAACCTGGTAATTTTTTGTCCTCCCTTACTTATTATCAATATTCAGAAAGCTAAATTCACTTATAATAATCAAAATTTTGAATTAAGTTGGTTCCTCATTAGGGTCCAATCCTAAAAAAGCATTGAACAACCACTTTTCAGGGAAGTCACTGATGTCTACAGGAATTTAGGTCACTTCCCTAAATGAAGGATACACAGCATTAAGCCCATAGCAAAATGTCAAAAAAATCCATCAAAAAGGAGACAGAAGTCATGAGAGAAATTTTCAAAAACCTTCAAAGAACAAACATAAATAAATAAATCACAGATCCCCACAAAATTACAGATGAAGCTAACCTTGTTCCACCTCACCTCTTGACACAAAAGAAAATCTCTGAAAACTTTTACAGGTGCAGGAAAGAGAAAGGAATATCTCACCTCTTGCAAGCAGCAAGGACAACAGCATGAAGAGCATCTGAGAGGTCTCTGCAAGGTTATCACTTCTTGACCCATATTGTCAACGATCCTAATGGTGAAAGGTCGTGATGGTCCACAACAATTTCGAGTACAACAGTCATTTTCCTCCGCTGCAAAATATACTCTTTGCCCCAAGCTATTTTTGATTTCATATTTATTGTTAGTTTCAAAACCGGTAAGAACTGAAAATTAACAACATAAAAAAGCTATTTAGTTGATACACTAAATACAAGTATTAACAGAAATTGCAGAGGCCTCAGTCAGGGTCAGGAACCCACTGTACTAATCCCTACATAAACACATAGGAAAACATGGCCCTTTCCCTGAAGATCTTACAATCGAATAAGATTACTAACATGGGGGGAGGGGGAAATCATATAAGAGATACATATATATTTTCAATGTATTATTTTATTGTATTATTTTTTCATTATGAATAAGTTGCTAACTATTCCCATTTTCCCTTCAAAACTAATTAATGTGAATGGTGAGTTCTTTTAGATATTATGGCACAGGTGAGACTTACGGTATCTCAGGATGGAGAAGGCCTTATGATCAGTTCAGAAAGGGTGTTCCACGGGTGAGATGCAACAGAGGTGTTTGTGTGAGAAGTGACAAATGAGCAGACAAGACAGACACCACTGTCACAGTGGATGTGGCAGTGGGGAGCAATGCAATAAAAAACAAAAGTAGACAGCTAGGGAGGGATAGAGTTGTGAATGGCCCTGACAATAAGAAAAAGAAGCTTTAAGTTGATGTGAAACAGCTGGAGCCAGCAGAGGGATCCGGAAAGCAGTATGATACTGTCAGAAGTGTAAGCCAGCAAGATTATTTTAGCAGATGTGATTTGAATGGACTGGAGGGGGGAAATGTGTGTGGAAGGGAGGCCAGTGAGTAGGTGGTTACAATAATTGGGATAGGAAATGATGAGGGCCTGAACAAAAAACAACAACAGATGGATCTTAGAAATGTTATAGGATGAAAAAGCAGCAAGACTTGGGTGTAGCCTAGTTGTAGAGGGTAAGAGAGAAGGTGTCAACAACATCATCAATATTAAGGGCATGAGTGACATCAGGATCATGATATTGTTAAACATGGCAAAGAACAAGCAGAATGGAAAGGATTTGGGAGAAAAGATCAGTTAGCTAGCAGCGAGACTTCCAGGAGGAGATGTCAGAGAGATAGGCCGAGATGTAGGATTAGATCGAATAAGACAGATCAGAAGTAGAGAGGGAGATCTGTAAAGATGATAGTTTGAAATCACATGAATGAGTGAGATTAGATGTAAAGATTACACTTTTAAATTAGAAACTGTCACATTTTCATATATCAATTTGTATTTTTTTAAAAGTTCAAATAAATTATGTTCTAAGTTTGAGATACTGAAAGTAAGCAACATTTTAAGAATCGGTGCCACCCCCACTCTCCTTCCCAAAATGTTCTATGGTAGGAAATTGGTTAAAGATATAAAAGACAAAAACCAAATCAATAAAGACCCCATCATTAAAAAACAATGAATAAATGAAGATTTTCTGTCATTAAATAAGACTGTTGTTTAACAGTCATGTATAATTACTTTATATAGGACCACGGTCATTTAAAATATCTCCAGTATAATGATCTTCCATTTAGCAGTATCGCAATGTACATACCTTCCAGAAGCTCAATCTGCTGATGAACTAATATCTGGTCAATCTGTTACAGTGGTTAAAAAACAGTTTCGAATAGAAGTTAATAAATGAAAGTTATAATTAAATTTAAAAAATAAAATCTACAAGTATGTCCGCTTTTATTTTTCAAAAATTAGATTTCAGGATACAAAATTATGGATCAATTCATAATTATAACGTTAGATCATCTACATCAATTGTGCTATAGAAATGGTCTCTCTCACACACGGTCACCTGGGATGATCAAAAAGATCATTCAAACACTAATATTCTAATTTTGTGAGCTGCTCTGTTGTGCGCTACATCTATTTGAAGATACTTGGAAGTGGAGAAGGGGAATGAATACTAGTGCTCAGAAAAAGTCCCACATTGAAAGTCATGAAGTCTGATGTGCTACTGATAACCATACTGTAATATAGGCCTTTGCCACACCATATTACCCTTCCTAGTGTCACTATTTCTGATACAACGATGTACAATAGAGCAGTACCCATTCTCATTTAATCTTAAATTCTTGGCTAAGATTGCCAAGTTGGATGTCAATTAGTGGTGGACACTTGTCTGCTAAAACTGGGACTATGCAGTTTTGTTGCAGCCATGTTGGTCCCAGGATATTAGAGAGACAAGGTGTGTGAGGTAAAGCTTGGCTCTCTCTCCAACTAAAGTTGGTCCAATAAAAGATATTACCTCAGCCACCTTGTCTCTGTAAAACTGGTACTAAGAGTACTTTTTCAAAATGGGCCACTGAGCAGCCATAAAATGGTAATATGCTTCAATTATGATGGTCCTGAGATTTTTAACCTCTGACCTAAATGTAAATGGCTCTGTATCCCCAATACCAATCATGTAAGCCACTTGATTTCCCAAAGTAGATAAAAAGGTACTTAAATGCGCAGGTATCTATTAGCTTTGTATTTCCATGGGAGTTTAATACGGAGAAGAATGTAGGTACCTGACTTAGGTATTCTAATCCAGGTGGACAGTTGAGAGGGGGAGGAGGTGCTTGCATCCAAGCTGCCCCACTGGGCCCAGAAGGCTGATTTTGGACTGGCGGGACCCCAGGTCCATATGGAGCTCCTCCTGGGTAACCCTGGAGGGCATAATTAGCTTGTCCTGGAGCATCTAGTTTGTGGGAAGAGAAACAAAACACAAAACACACAATTCTGAAAATTAGATTTTAAAAAAATAGTTTCAACACATCAACAAATACACTTCTGAAGTTCTAGCATTTTTAAACTATTGAGAGCCTTATAATGAAACTACATTACATAATTAGGCTTGGCAGAAATCAACTTATTTTATAATGTCAACAATATTGACATGTATTTTAAGCATTTTTCAATTATTAATAATTTACGTTTTCACAGTTGTGCAAAATTATGGGTTGTAAGCTTTTTTTATTTTTATCTATTTAAATTTTTGGCAGTTGTGGGAAGTTATGGGGAGGTTAGAGATTCAAAAGTTAAAGCTTTATAACCAATAAAACATAAATAGAAAAACTCATGTCAAAATATACAGAGTAAATATCCTTAAATCAAACTCCAATAAGTTCTCAAGGAGCATTTTTCTTACTCTGCCTATCTGCACATTTCTATTATTATAGATGGAAATATTTTGTCATCAGTTTGTGTGCATAGGGTGAAATTGATGTTTAATGATAAAAATCGAATCCTTCCAAGCTCACCCATAATTCAGTTCAGTGATCCTCGACCTCTGAAAGCTGGAGAGCCACTACAACAGCAAACTTTCACATCATGATAATTAATTACATCAACAGGTCATTATTTACCACTGCAACTCCAGAGCTCAAACTTCACAGTAATATTAAAGACACCGCTTAACTATTATTTTGTGGCTCTTTGACTGACACAGTAGCTCCCCTCTCCCTATCTTCCTTCTGGCTGTTTGCAGCATATACAGGGCACTTTTCTCTCTCCTTTCTAAAAAGCTGCTTCTCTCTCTCCGTCTTCCAGCACAGCAACAACCTGTACGGATGTAGTTATACTGATACAAGGGTCACTGTATGGCTTCAACTATATTGGTATACTTAAAGCAATACAACTTACGTTTAGACAAGGTCATAGAGTAAACAGGACTTACAGGGAAGCCACCAGAGGATAGAACACTGACAGGGACTCAACAGATCTAGCTTCTATTCCCAGCTCTGCCATTGGCCTGCCTGGGTGACCTTAGGCAAGACACTTCACCTCCCTGCACCTTAGTTTCCCCATCAGTAAAATGGGGATGATACTGACCTTCTTTGTAAAGCACTTTGACATCTACTGATGTAAAGTGCTACACAAGAGCTAGATATGTTTATTATAATAAGACAAAATATCTGGAACCAGATATTTTACATCCTTCACATTAATATGAAAAGAAACCCCTCTCCCACATATACCAATTTCATATAGTAAGACAGCTATAAATAATCTACAAATTAAATGTAATAAAAATTAAGCTGCTCATTTGATCTCATCATTACAATTTAAAAGTAATATACAGCAAATGAAAATAGAGTAGATTTGAACATGGAAAAGTATTTGATAAATGGCTGTAAGACTGCCATGTTGTGAAGAGCAATTTGAGAACTTTTAGAAAAAGATTTTCTATAGTTACTTATTTGCACTTATTTTAGAGATAGTGTGTGTCTATAAAAGTCAGTCTGAAGTTTTCAAGCATGTACTGTAGTCCTATATATTTAATTATTTTTTCTAAACGGTGTCAAGAAGTTTGTCATATTGTAAATACATACACAGAAATAATTAAATAACTACATAATGATTTTAGCTATATTATATGAACAATCTCCCATTTATTTTATTTGCCCACACAGAACTCAGTATAAAATCAGATTCAAGTCATGCCGTTTAACACTTAACATTGTGATAGGCCCACTAGATGGCGCACACAGTATATATTTATGTTCATGGATTAAGATCTCTCTGTATCTGTAATATAAATTCCACACTACCAGAGGAATGTGTTATCTATAGCAATGCTGGTAGTATATAAAGATTTATTTATAAAGATAAAATTGAACAAATGTGTACAATGTTCATGGAAGTTATATCTAAGAACTAAAGAAGATTCAAATGTAGCATGAATTCAACATCAAGCTGGTTCAAGTTTGTCCACCTACAGAAAGTAAAAAGTTTAAGCTTCCTCCTCTACAATGAAGCAAGAATTATATTGAAACTATGAAGGATGTTCATGCAGAGTTATTCACGCACTCTACCGTTTGCAAGAGATATAACCACAAACACAGCCTTAGTAACAGCTGGTCCACCCAAATGTTTTGCATGTTAGCTTTTTATAAATGTTAGCTTTTTATAGGACTTGAAAAGGGCATCTTTTCCAGTGAAACTGTGGATTACACTACAGCTAATAACAAGTAATTACAATCTATAGAGAAGATTCTTAGCTGGTATGACTATGACAATGTGTGTTTGTACTTAATATCAGGCTCAAACAGTGAAAGAGCAAACTACCTTGATCTCAGAATTTAATTTTTCTTGTTCTAAAAAGAACAAAACTTTTTTCAGTCTCCACAATGCATAATCATTATTTGCCAAGTGCTGACAGTGTTTACAGAATGTGAGAGTAGGGTTGCTCTGCCACAAAGTGCATAAAATCCAAAAGACAAGCAGGACAGGCCAATATAACTCAATACTTAAGACATACAAGATATCACTAAGTGTGAAGGTTCAAGTCAGAGGCTTTCTTACATTTAAAAAAGCAAAATAAAAATTCAAACATTCATATTTCAGCAAATTACTTCTTAAAGGATTATTTGAAGTGGTGTGTTCTGGGGGAAAGATTTGAATGTAGAGAGGGAGGTCACTCAGTAAAGAGGGAGAGAGAAAAAGTTTTAAGCTTCTGTGACAGTGTGGAAGAAGGGGCAACAAAGTGGGAAAAATCATGAGGGTATTCAGATTGGAGGCAGGTAAGACAGAAACAGTAACAGAGTTGGAGACTATAACTTCTCCAGTTTTAAATCCAGTTCTGAATTGCTAAAGAAAATTAGTAAAATATTTTGATTTTAAAAGAGAGACTATTGACTGAGATGTAGAGTTCAAAAGCAAAGAGCTGCCATGCATGAGCTACTTCTGCAACTGCACTATCTTCCCTGCCATCGTCCCTACAACAGGGTTTTCCTGCAGACAGGAGATTTTCTGACTATTTAATTTTCCTTTATAGGTAGCATGTTACCACAGTACTACAAATAAAGGAAAGAACAATCAAGCTTTTCTACAAAAAATAGTAAACATTTCATCCCGGAAAATTAATAGCAGGGGAATTAGTTCACAGGTGGCTGCCATCTTGGAACACAAACTATTTTTTCTGGGGACAAAACAGATGAGTTAATTTGTATAACATATCATAATCAAATAACTTACTTTGGAAAGTTTGAGGTGGGTACTGAGGATATCCATAAGGAACTTGATTTCCTGCATAACCTGGAGGGTAAGTGGGATTTGGAAATTCAGCAGCTTTATTTGCTGGAAGAAAGAAACAAATATTCTTTTTTTGTTTTGTTTTGTCAAATTAAAAAACAAATCTATAAAATGAACTTATTTCCTTTAGAGAAGAGCTATATGAAAATTAGACATTGTGACAGGTTTACTGTATTTAAACAATATGAAATGCCCTTAAAAACAGAAGGCTTGTTTTAAAAAAACGCTAATGAGAAGTTTTGCATTATGAAAGAATCAGAACAATTTAGATGCATTCAAATTCCAAAAGTGCTGAAAGGAAACAGGTACTGTAAACTATCTAGTTAGGAGGTTAGTTAATTCTTATTCCATACCAGCAACTTCCTTATCTGTTTCTCTTGTAATACTCAAAATAGAAAGTTCTTGGTACCATTCTAATTCAAATAATTACTTGCGAACACAAGCCAGCATTCTCCTCTATAGAGAAGGAGAATTAAATGATTCTCCTCATTCACTCTGGTATAATTTTTTCTCACTTAATTAACAAGCAGCTTTGCAGGTTCAGGTCCTTGAGATTTTTTTAAAATAGTCCCTGCTCCTGCCTTGTATCATTTCACATTTCACCCATTATCTGCTCATCCAGATAACTTAGGCCTGATAAGTACTTACACTGATCAATGCAGTTGACATGTGGCTACATGTCACAAGGATGTTAAGAGGGATTTAAACATCTGTGTTGAAGCTCATTTATTCTAAGAAGCCCTCCCACTACTACTGTAGTAATATATATTGCTAATTTGGCTGTTTAGTTTAGACTCCTGTAAGTGATCCAGATATTAGAAGACATTTAACCGATGCTAATGAAATATTTTACTCACGTTTTTCCATAGTTCCGTTTACAAGTGTGTCTGGAAAATAAGACATTTGTTTCATGTTTTGAAAACAAAAAAAGCCCTCTGTTACACAAAGGTTACAATTTTTTCCAATCTTCTTAGCTTAATCGATTTAAGTATTAAGATGGCTTTTCAATCATGTTAAGACACAGACTGACATGGCTGAAGCAGTGTTAGCTGGCTATTTGGTAGCAAGCGGTGAGCCTAAGTTACAACACAGCCAGCTAGCATGAAAAAGAAAGAAGAAGAAAAAATCCAGACATCTGTATCACCCTGCTGCTCCTGTGACCAAATTTCAATAAAATTGCTAATGAGGAGGAGAGACTAGGAAATGAGTGGAAATGTTTGAAGTATGAATAAAATGGGGGGGGGGACGGACCATTTATATTTGGTCCTGCTTCAGCATAGGGGGATGGATAGTTGACTTCTCAAGGTCCCTTCCAGATCTATATTTCTATGGTTCTGTCTTTTTCAGATAAGAACATAAGAATGGCCCTACTGGGTCTGACCAAAAGTTCATCTAGCCCAGTATCCTCTCGTCCGACAGTGGCCAGTGCCACAGTGGACAGAGGGAATGAACAGAACAGGTAATCATCAAGTGATCCATCCCGTCGCTCATTCCCAGCTTCTGGCAAACAGTGGCTAGGGACACCATTCCTGCCCATCCTGGCTTATAGCCATTGATGGACCTATTCTCCATGAGTTTATCTAATTCTTTTTTGAACCCCTGCTATGGTCTTTGCCTTCACAACATCCTCTGGCAAGGAGTTCCACAGGTTGACTGTGTGTTGTGTGAAGAAATACTAAGAAACAATATACTATGAAGGAGGAAATTCCTGCCTGGTTGAATCCACAGATAAAGAATCCATTCTAGAAAAAAGGGTGAAGAGCTGCAGGTAATTTGTAAAACCCTTCTACTGTTAGATAAGATATTACTGGATTTAATGGTAGTCCCTTTCATAAGTATAGGGAATACATACTCAAACAGGCAATAACTTACCTTCCAGTGAAAGACAATGGAAACTTTAATTACATCCAATGTAACTTGAAAGGGAGGTAAATATTATTTTTTGTAAAAAAAAAAAAAGGAATTCCTTCAACAGAATTAATATAACAAAAAAGTTTCAGCAAATAGAATTCCACTAGTGTGAATGAACCTGGCACGCACAAACACGTCACAATTTGTAATAGTACTGATACTAATCTTTCTATCGCATAAGCCACTTCATGAACTTTGGACTTGTGATGTAAATTGTAATAGCGACTTTATTCCAGTATTTATATGTCTCTTATCCTCCTGGTATCCAAAGTCCTAATAGTAAAGAGCATTACATAATCTTGCTATCTTGACACTCGGGTAAGTGAAGGCTGGTGGAGCAGGCTAGCTAGTTATCACTTAGCTAGTTACAGGGGTATAAAAACAAAGAATCAAAATCAGAGTCCACCTGTGTATGGGCCTTTTCTCACTAGGATAGTCCGAGGCCTTGTTCTTAGGCTAAGGCCTTTGGCTTAGCAGCAGGGGCAGCCATAAACTGGGAAGCATACAATCACATCCTCAGATTCCAAACCAATCACATTGAAATAAGGTGGTATTGGGCTGTTAGGAATACAATCGTGTCCTGATAGTGTCTATCACCAACAGATAAACATGGTTAAAGAAAACTTAGTTTGATAACATCCTGTCTGGCAAGAAATCATTTATCATTGGTTGTGAAACACTCATTTCTGTACTGTTTTATCTTTATGGCCCCCATTTTTCTATTGTTAATCTGTCTGGTTTGCTAATTGTTTCTGTCTGCTGTATAATTGATTTTGCTAGGTGTAAGTTAATTAGGGTAGTGGGATATAATTGGTTACATAATTATGTTATAATATGTTAGGATTGATTAGTTAAATTTCAGTAAAATGATTGGTTAAGGTATAGCTAAGAATATTACTATATAAACTGGGGTCAAACAGGAAGTGGGGGAAGGGAAATTGAAATCATGTTTGCGAAGGGGGACACTGGGTAAACACTTTGTGCTTTCAGAGCTGGGAAGGGGGACATGGGATAAAGGCTCTGCAGCGTCAGAGCTGCATGACAAGAACCAGGGAAGTGGGATGAAAAAGACAAGAAAAGGAGTTCCACAAGCACCTATTCACTAACTAGACTCCTTCAAGAAAAACACTGTTACTGAAGGAGGGAGTTTGGAGGAAACTCATTCTCTCCAGGGTTCCATTTTGCTCAAAGAAGCAGTACCTATTCACTCAGACAAAGCACCAAGTGCTACGGTGTGAGCTGGAATCCAGGCAGAGGACTTGAATCCCCACTGCTTTGCACAGTGTGTAGTCTTTGACACTTGTATAAAACAAGTGTAAAAGTGCTTCCACTTTGCACAGGTGTAAAGGACTAGGCAACATGGAAGGCAGAGATTCAGAGCAAGCAGAGTGCTACTCAGTGAGATTCCCCATAGTCCTGGTGACAACAAGCACCTGATGAATAATTAGATGATTTTTTCCCGGCATTTCAGAAGTCCCTGTGGTCTTTGTAGTTAACCACACTACCACTTCCTTCAATGACACATTAATACTTTTGTTGCTGTTAGTGTTGAACCATCGATTAAGCAAGAGATGATATAGAGATCCATGTAGTAACTCAGAACTACACGTATATCTTGAGAAAGTTTAACAGCTAGTTTGTTTCTTCTCCTCCAAAAATTAAATATCCCTAGACAGTCTGCACCTGGATGAAACTGAACCCGGGCAAAAAAGACACAGTGTTGCTAGAAAGAGGACATTTTGCATAGTGTTAGGCACGTGACATCACTGTTCTTGTGAGAAAACAGTTTAGGTGCCTAAACTCCAGGAGAGGGTTCCTGAATGTGGACCCAAGCTGAGATAGGCACCTAACTCTGGGACTTAGGTGATAACCCTTCTGTCAGCATCCACTATTGGCAAGCTTAGGTGGCTTTCATTCTTAGATGCCTCTCTCTCCTCCATGCACCGTATAGGGAGCTAGATGCCTAACTCAGGGTTTGTAGATTCCACTGGGTAGTTAGGCACCATGACTGAGAAAAATGCCAACTTCCACTTGAGACTGTCTGGTAGATTTCGTCCAATTCTATCAGAGACAAATCTGGCTATAGAACCCTATACTTTTGTGAACTCTAGGCTCAATATTGTAATTCAATCTGGGAATGAAGTCATATAACTTTAATAAAACAAGTATCAAGGGGTAGCCGTGTTAGTCTGTATCTACAAAAACAACAAGGAGTCTGGTGGCACCTTAAAAACTAACAGATTTATTTGGGCATAAGCTTTCGTGAGTAAAAACCTCACTTCTTTGGATGCATCCCTCTCCCTTAAAGTGTGTTTTTAGTTAGATGCATCCGAAGAAGTGAGGTTTTTACTCACGAAAGCTTATGCCCAAATAAATCTGTTAGTCTTTAAGGTGCCACCAGACTCCTTGTTGTTTTAATAAAACAACCAAATAAGAATATTCAAAAAGCTTTAACAGGTACAAATTGCAACAAATCATTTGCTTAAAAAACAAAAAAACAACAAAAAAACCCACCAGGTCACCATGAACACATGATCCTGGTGCTCCATTTCCTACACTGGTTCCCGACAGAACAGAGTCCCTTCCCCATGATCTTAATATTCAAATCTCTCCATAAGATCAGCCCTCGCTGCCTAAAAGATCATTTCTCTCTCCATATTCAGGGCCTTCATCAACAGCTGTTCACCTCTAGAAATGTAACCATTCTGTGACTAGAAGAACAGAACTACTAAACTTGGCTACTAAACATGTGAGATTTTGGATTTTATTTTGCCACTCCCAGTGTATTAAGAAACCTGCAAAACTAATCTGGAACAGGTGGGTTAATCATAAATAACTATCCCATTTACTCTGAATCTTAACATACTGTTTTGAGTCAACTAAGAGGACTGATACTATTTTCTAGATAGTGAATGAGAGATTAGTATACATATTTGAAAAAAAATTATTTGAAGTGCAGTAAACATTGTAACATGAATGCCACAGATAAATATGAAGTCAGTAACCTAGAATATGACCTCTCTTCTGTCCAAAGATATGAATCTTCTTAGTTCAGGCTCATGTGTGCTTAGCATTCAAAATTAAAACAAGACAGGTCTGATGCACAGGTGTTTAAATCCCAGTGTCCAATAAAGATCCCTGGTTAGCCTCCAGCTGTGAATTTCTGCTTTCTACATTATCCAGCTTGTCAGAGAGGTATTAGCAAATCTCCTCCTCTCCCTTAAAGTGTGTTTTTAGTTAGGGAGGGCTGTTGCTAAGAAACAGACTGGCTCTAATCAAGTCCTGCCTAACAAGCTGAACTGCCAGAACAACATGCCCTTCTGCTTCCCAGTGCAAATTAAAACCTCAGTCTTCCACATATCAAGGCACCTGTTTAGTTCCATTGTCTTACTCAAGCAGAAACATTATTGATGTAATGGTCAGCATCAATTAGTACCAATATTGTTCTCCGACCATTGGAGGGATCCACACTTCCAGTACTTAACTATATTTCCAATAGACAAATTAGCCCAAATGCCTCAGAGACATTCAAAACATTTGAAAGAACAGTGGAGGAAACAACTGCATTAAGAGAAATCAGAAGAATGGAATAATATTATTTTTAAGTGTACTATGAAATTTATCAAACAGGGAAGTAACATCCCCACATTCTTTTCTTCATTTCCTATGCATGAACTGCACTTGAAAAAAATAACAAAAACAAAGAAAAACTTTCAGCAAAACATATGCATATGTTTCCTCAGACCATTGTTTTATCATTATTATGTAGACAGATTCGGATATCAGTTATCCTGGTGTAAGTCAGGAGATGCGCTCTCTAGGTTGACATTAGCAAACATAAGATCGGAATCTAACCATAGATGTATGCAGTCAGGTGCAGTACAGGATTTTTCCATGGGCAGCGTGTCTAATAGGCAGGGGAAGGCTGTGCCTCTCCAAACAGCCCCAGGTGGCCCCGCCCATGCTCCATCAGGAG